ACTCTTCCTTGAGTTGAATGATTTCATCCCACTTGACTTTCAGCTAGTGTTATATGGTATAAATGAATTGTCCCAACAAGATAATGAACTAATAGTAAGACAGACGCAGCAACACATTCGAGATACAAACAGATTTTGAGTACATGTGTATTATGTCTTGCACGCCCAACAGGTTCACAAATTAGACCAACCTTATACTAAGTATTTTTTCCCCAGATGACTCTGTAATACAATTAGATAGTTAACCTGTGTAACATTATTTTTATAATCATTTAATATGTGAAAATGGAACTTTACTGTGTGGCTGGTCGAAACGAAAATACCAGCGGTCGACGAATGAACAGGAGAGAGATTATAGCACGGGGTGTGAAGAACATTATAGAACAGCAGACAGTGAACGAAAAGTAAATAAATTATCACTAGTTCCGTTTGCATTGAGAAAGAGCAGTCACATGGTCAGAGATGCAATATTATACATTTGTTGACTGAGTTTGAGGACAACATGTGTTATGTATATGTTAAACCAGAGGACCAAACAGTTTCCTGAGGCCGAAGAATGACACACATGTACCTACCCGAACAATGGATCAAGGGTATACAGTTTAAACAGAGGATGTAGTCGTCAGCTCTACATACTGTAGTTTGGGTTATAACAAACTGAAATACATTAAAACATGTATATACTAAAGATATTGATATTAACTAAACATAATAATCGATGACAGATATTCATAAAAATGTTGATTCAGGAAAAAATGAGAATTTGTCTAAATCGATATTATTCTAACTTACACAAATAGATATAAAAGTAAGAATAATAATTCGCACAATGTAATTATTAAAATATATTCTAGAGCGTGAAAATCACTAACATTCCCCGTATAGCACGTCTAGATCTGTCCACTGTGAAATGTCCGCTGATTATGAGTGACTTAAAGGGGCATCACGCTGAAGCAGGGATGTGTGGTCCACTACACATCCCTGGCTGAAGTAACTTTTTTCTTGTCTTTTTTTTCTTTCAAATACTACATAAACATATCAAGTGAGACTCCTTATGGAAAATAGCGATCGGATTTGGCTGAAATAGATTCATAAAAATGATTAAATCTAAGATAATCATCGGTATTGTTCAGGGATTTCCCTCTACTAGCTCAAGCGCATATATAGCACACCATTTCTTTGTAAACAAAATGACTGGCCGTGTGAAGTAAGCGAAAGAAAAGTGTTGGACCGTGTCAGCTACGAAGCGAAAAGTTGCAAAATGGTCAAAATATAGCGCAAGGGGTACGTTACGGAATCATTATTGCCAGTGGGAAGTATTCAAAGCAGAAAATTACTGCCCTAGCAGTTAGTACGGTGCATGTATTCTTCTGGATTGCCGGTTAAGCTGAAATGAAATCGACAGAAATGCTAGCGCTGTTTATGTAGTGAATAAATATCTAAAACTATTAACCTCACTAGTAGTAGTCTCATTGTGTGAGTTTGAACACAGATGAACTTATTCTAATATGTTAATGGACATGTATCGGAGAGAGTTTACTTTGTGTTTCTATAATTATACAGTGGTTCATGCGAAAGGAAGGGATAAGTGACTGGTTAGCTTGATTTTGCCATGAGGCCCTCCAAGGGATAACTGTTGTGATGGCCACGGCGTATTCTGTTCTGTCCTCTGTCGGTACTCGGGGTCAAATGAGATACGTGCGCTATTAGATTTACATAAATTATAATATTATCGGGATCAGTAAAATGGTATGATTTGATTATATTGCTGAATTAAATGATTTTATTTTGTTTTGACATGCAAGATTTAAATAGTACTAATATGAATACCCGGCCTCCTCTGGCGCGACGACGCAATATATAAAAAAAAAATCGCTCTTCCTCAGAAAGCTACGTTATCGCAGCTAGATTAAAAATGTCAAAATGACGGACCAGGATGAATAACTGAGGAAGGAGAACCTACTTCTAGTAAAAAGGATCGCATATTTAATTTTTCAAATCGTAATTTTTCAACAGTTCATGTTTTCATATGACTTTGAATGTATGATCACGGACTAATCTAATTCCGTGGTATGGTCATGTAACAACCTTTTCTCTATAAAGAATTAATTTTCGGCATTTATATGCATGGTCTAGAATAAAAAATTGGCCAAAGACATTGATTTGTACAATGTAATAAATAAATTCAAAAACGTTTCTCTTTTTTATAAGTGCGTAGTTTGTCATTGCATATATGCACTTTATGTAAACATTTGAAAAGGGATATTCGTCTCGTCAATATTCCTTTTTACAGAAAGGGTTGTCCCATGGTTGAGGGAAGGTGTTTAGCCCCGTACCATCTGTACCGGTCACATTCCGGTACTAAATTCAATATGTATTTATATATATATACTTTATGTTTATGTCTATTATCATTGTTGACATTTAATTGTAAATGTATGACGGGAGAAGGCTGTGATAAATTGTAAAAACTTGTGCCCCATCCCTTGTTCAATTTTATTGGCAACAAATATATGTTTAAAGCTGAATCAAAATGTTTATTCAAAAGTTGGTCCTCGGATGGGAAAGTATTGAAAGTATTTTTTCAAGTCTGGGAAACCCCTTCACTTTCATAGTGAATATATGGCTATATTTGCAGTATTATATCAACAATACCGAATATCTCAACAGTTCAAAACTTCATATTCAATTGGTTTTATATCTATTCCATGCATTTTTGCTACTAAAGATTATTTACTCATCAATATTTTTTTCCGTTTTCAAAAAAGTTTTCCGCCATACCTCTTTCTTCTCCAAACCAGCTTCAGTTTTGATAAAATAGACTGCACGTAAATCAGGAAAGTCTTGTTTTCGTAATTATTCTTACCTTCAATGTCCATGTTACGATCATCAGCAGTCAATAAGGCTTAATACAGTTTAATTGTCACGAAAAGTATTATCAAACTGTGGTCAAAAGGTGGTTTTGTTGTGAGATATAGAACAACTCCTCTGGGTTTTGTTCACTGTCATTTTATTGCTCGTTGTAAAAACCAAAAGAACCCTGCAACAAGTACAAAGTACAAGCTACAGTCATATATATATATAAAATAGACACACATAATCATATTTAATAGTACAAACGCAGGGGAAATAACTCTTACACGATTTCATAACTTTTACCCTTACAAATCAACTATAAGGCAATACACATTACAATTACAACTTTTATGAAATACAATCAAACTGAAGATTTGACTCAAAACAAAGTTACTGGACAATATATTAAATTCACAGTTAGCAGTCTAGCGACCTATACCTTCTCAAATCAATACTATATATATACTCTTACATAAAAAACACAATAGCATACCTGAGTGTGGCACAAGGCCTTGGCTACTATCTATTTGTATAATTACGACGCCTTCTTCAATCGTATGCAATACGGATATACTGTAATTAAAATAAAAGACATCTAAATAAATTTATCGAACCTTAGTCAAATGGGCACAACGTAATAACGCCTCTTACAAAAAATCAAATTACATCACCTCCATTATTACGTTTTCATATAAAAAAATACATTAATCATATCTGATTTCTTATTAAAGGAATAACAAATCATCTATACTTAGATTAGATCCAAATAGAATTATATCTCAAATAAAACACATAATACATATACGTTGGGTATTACACAAAGACAAAGAAACACTTACATTACATCTCTCCGTCCGTCAACTACGAGTCCTCAAAAGGTACTAGCGTGATTTATTTGCCCACAAAGAAACACGCGCCAAAACTGACCACCCAGAACGAACCAATGAAAACGCATACACAACTTGACGTAACACTACTGACCAATGAACAACTGTATGGTATACCAACATATCAACATACGTAACGAGCAGAATACCACAATACACCTATAGACATAACATCACAGTATAGAATACAACACGCGGACGTTACATTACTCGGAGTATGAAATATATACATGGACAGTCGACGCGCTACGGACGGACTTAGTAAACAAACATACATACAAGCAAATACATTAATTATATCCCTGTTACACAACGAAAACTGTATACATAAAAGTATTATCAAACGAAAACTGTATACATAAAAGTATTATCAAACGAAAACTGTATACATAAAAGTATTCTTTGAGATGAATTACAGTTTCTTGGGCAGTTTTCCCACAAGTGTCCCGTTTTGGGTACAGTGACGGTACAATCATTTCAAGTTCTTCGTTAGTGAAGGTTCCTTGTTTGATATCGTGATAACATGTTTTCATTTAACTCTATTCCCTATTAATGTGGCCAACTTGATCAAGTTGACAATGACATTTTAACAATATATATATACAGTTCTTAAACGTACAAAACCAGAGACGTATATATTACACGTAATATACACGTCTCTATATATACGTCTCTGGAAATACTAATTTGACAGTAAATTCTTCACACAAAAAGTACCAAATTTAACAATGTAGACTAGTAGATCTAGGGTGTGTCTGCATTTTCACACATTTTCTGTCTTTTTCAAATCTCTGCAATCAACAAGACCATAACAAATGTTTGATTTTATACAATATAAAAATGTATACCATATGCACGGAATTAGAGTATCTAAGTCCGTGGCATGTGTAACAAAGTTTGTAACAATATGTAATTATAAACAAAGTAACACTGAAATAAACAAACGTAACAATATGATATAATGTTATACTTTTTTTTTTGTATGAAAATTGAAAGTAAATTTATGGAAAGCATTAGTTAGCTACACAGGATTATTGATATGTGTACCAGGACTTTGGACGTGGACCATGTTTTCCGTAAGCCCCAATTTTCTTAACAATTTACACGAGGAAACTCAGTTAAAAAGTAGACCCTTTATCTATCAACACAGATCAGCAGTTTTGCTTATATAACAAACATAAACACGAGTGCTAAACAAACAGTAGAAAATAATCGAAATGTCCCGAAACGACCGGGAAAAAAAAGTCCCGAAACGACTTGTTACCGAAGCGACCTGACATCTGAGAACACGCACTAGGAAGCATTACTATTTCTGTCCCTATTTCATAACGAACAATTCTACTGAAATCAGTTCATCCTTTGGGACACTTTATCGGCCTAAACATATTTGTATCACGCGATAACCACTCTTTAGTGGTGTGAGGCGAGAAACAACATCTCCAAGTTCAAGGACGTTTACAGCAAAAACGACACAGTGAGTGTATCGTATATCTATAATGATGCAAAAGTGAGGAAAGTGTCATCGTTCTGACCAGTATCTTTGTGACAATAGGTGACGCCTGCTTGTGATGTAAGTTTACATAATTTACTCCTGATCTATCGGATTTAAATGCCTGCAATATAAAAAAAAAGAGTCCCTGATAATAACAGACTGATTGTTTACATTTGTGACAAACGATTATAGGCATTAACATATCTGAAATTGATTATGGCTTGTAGATAAAATAAGAAATAAGTCAATGATCGAAAGAACTCCAAGGTTGGAGTGCAATTGACCCTAGGAGGTGGCATTTCAAAGAATATTGTTTTTGTAATTTTGTATTGTATTAAAACTATATGTACATAACGAGGATGCAGAATTAGTAAAGAGACTGGTGGTAACCTTCAAGTGATGATTTGAAAGAAATTAATTCGTCACTAAGTGATGTTGGTAATGGGTTCCAGGTGATAATAGTTCTTGGGGGGAAAAAAAAGAGAATTTGTAGGCGTCTTTTGCGGTAGATAATTGTGTTTATTTTAAGTGCCCCCCTTGTTCGTCTGTCACCTGTTCATAATGTTTAAAAGAACTTGACATGTTAATTGCTTTCATTTCACCTAGAGCTGATCCCAATTTCAGTTAAAAAAATGCTACTCAAATGGGAAACTGCTACCCAAATGCGGGATTATTACCTACCATGCATGTATTTGCACCGTTGTGTCCAACCTGATCAAGCTTAAGGTATTTCATACAGGCTGACATGTTGATGTTTATAGTGTGGGAAGGGCTCATAACTTTTCCTCATAGTGGGTCAAGTGAGGTATACTTTTAAGAATGTAGATGTTGGTCAACAGCGTATTTTCAGTCATTGACCTAGAATCAGTGTTAAAGTTTCAAAAGTCTGCACAACAAAAATTAATTGCCTGAAAATAATATCATAACAAAACATCTTCGACTTGTCAACATACATAGACAGGTCTATATAAATCATACTACTGTCAACATACATAGAAAGGTCTTTATAAATCTTACTACTGTCAACATACATAGACAGGTCTAAATAAATCGTACTACTGTCAACATACATAGATAGGTCTATATAAATATCACTTCTGTCAACATACACAGGGAAAGGTATAAAGAAATCGTTCTTACTGTCAACATACACAGGGAAAGGTATAAAGAAATCGTTCTTACTGTCAACATACAAAGATAGGTCTATATAAATATCACTTCTGTCAACATACATACACAGGTCTAAATAAATCGTACTCCTGTCAACATACATAGTTAGGTCTAAATAAATCTTACTACTTTCAACATTCATAGGTAAAGGGCTACATAAATCTTACTACTGTCAACATACATAGATAGGTCTATATAAATCTTATTACTGTCAACATACATAGATAGGTCTATATAAATCTTACTACTTTCAACATTCATAGGTAAAGGTCTACATAAATCTTACTACTGTCAACATACATAGGTAAAGGTATAAAGAAATCGTTCTTACTGTCAACATACATAGGTAGGTTTACATAAGTGGTACCACTGTCAATATGCATAGATAGGTCTATATAAATCTATAAAGTCAATTAACATACAATGTACATAGGTATATATCTCACTACTGTCATAATACATAGATAGGTCTATATAGATCTAACCATTGTCATACATAGATAGGTCTAAAATCTGATTACTGTTAATGTACAGACACTTAACCACATACAGTATATATATGCAATTATAAATTAGCAACGTTGCCACTTTAAAATAGTTGAGACTTATGTGCATGGTTCTAGTATTACATAAAACTATTTGTTATCTATGACATGTGTATCAATTATATATCATTAGTGGGCATAGATCAAGTGGGCTGATAGTTACCCCAAGCTATTTCTCATTTGCAGTTGTGCATTCATAAGTATGTATTATGATATAATGGCTGGATGCAACTTAATTGACCAATTATCTTACTGTTCTACATTTACTGCTCATTAGTGTTGACATCAATCTAACACCATTCATTATAGTACTGAAACTGCATGGTCAGGGACATTTGCTGGTCACCATCTGGAAGAGCTGCAGCTAGAATGTGGAGGTCCCAGCTAGGTTAGAAGTGTTTTTTAATGTTGTCTTACAGAAGGTGTATAGGGTTGTGTGTGTTTCCATTGCTTCAGTCTTTGTGGAAAAAAGAAGATTGCCAGTGACCAGGTGTATCTTAACTGACAACCGGTGTGTCTCTATTGATAAACAGTGTATAGCTACTGACAAGCAGTGTATCTGAACTGACAAACAGTGTATCTTTACTGACAAACAGTGTGTCTTTACTGACAAACAGTGTATCTTAACTGACAAACAGTGTATCTTTACTGACAAACAGTGTATCTCTACTGACAAACAGTGTATCTCTACTGACAAACAGTGATCTCTACTGATCAAAGTGTTCATCAAATTAAATGTGGTTTACTGAGCTGGTAAATCATACAAATGTAGTGTGTTTAAGTGACCTAGGAAGGAGTGTAAACCAGTGAAGTGGTATTATTGTTTTATCGGTCAAGGTTACATTTCTCTAACACCTGGGACTCTATATACAAAATGTACCTGTAATGTACTTGATCAGTTATCTCTAAACTCGGTCATATCAGGACTAAAGCTTTATAACACGTCCGTGTGGTTTCCATATAACTTAGGATACATCAATAACAGGACACTATTCTATATAATACATGTGAAAGGTAGGTAGTAGTTTCAGTGTTATTTGAATTGGTTTAGTTTGGGAATTATTTAATAGGATTTAATAGTGTATTAGTGGACGCAGGTATATTTCTGCCTCAATATCCACATCAATATCATTTGAAATACATTGTGGTGAACATAAAATAATCTTAATTCAACTCATATTCTGACGCACAAGAAGGATGATCCATATAATTATGTACATGTATTATGGTATTATGACATTTTTTCTGCATTTGTAGTCTAGACTTAAATCTGTTAACATAATGTAAATTGTTTAGTATATATTTATCATATGGTCAAATCATTAAGAATCCTAAGGTTCATTTACTAAAATATATATATAGCGTGTATATATAGCGTGACAAAATGATATAGTTGCAGTGTTAGCACTAGTATCCAATAGAGAATGTCATCCTCAGATTAACTATAGTTTACCGTTTATATGCGTAAATGATTTGTGACAACATAGACTTTACTATAATTCTGTTGTGAACTTGTTTTTTCGAATGCTGTATTTATGTTTACAGACATGACTGCGTGATGAAGCCAGTGCTGCTACCTAACAAGTAGATAGGACAGACACAGGTCTGCAGCCTCCCAAAGACATGGCATCTTTCCTTGACTTCACATATGACTGTATGTATCACCTGAATCAGTACTTCAAGGCATCTTGGCCTGTACGATTACTGTTCGGATCTCACCTCAAGCCTCCATCTCATGAAACAGAACTCCAAGTGTTGAGGGTGATCGACCTTTTGAAGCACAAGAAGGACCCACAGGAGTCCAGCATTGTCAAACTGGTGAACAAGCTGCCAACAGATGAAAACATTCTCAGTGTGAAAGACCAGGTGAATGGTTTCAATTTGCTGCAGCTGGCAGTAATAAATTGCAGAAAAGATATCCTCATTATCCTAGCTGGAAGCAAAGTGATTCAATACCACACCAAGTGTAGCCCTCCTCTGCACCTGGCAGCACACCTGGGATATGAAGGTCTTGTGGAAATTCTCCTGAAAAATGGGGCTGACCTCTGTGAAGTTAGAGGTCTTTGCTATCCTGACAATCATCAGGCCGTGGGATATACAAAGTGGATGGGAATGTTGGACCGTCCTGTGTTTGCATGCAAGAGAGAACCATCCTTGCCAGTGTTTTGTGCAATAGCTGAGGACAATATTGCTTGTATGAAACTGCTTATGTCACAAATGATGGAACAAGGCATACCTCTGCCCTTGCCATCTGATCTCCTCCATTTCTCTTGTCGCAAGGGGTCTGCAGAATGTATCCAGTATTTCTGTAAAAAATTCCCATGGGAAGTCAATTCTTTAGACAAGGAAAGGGACACTCCTCTCCTGGCAGCTGTTGGATGGGGACAAAAGTGTGTGAGGATTCTCATAGGACATGGGGCTGATGCCAGAGGTATTTCAAAGATGGGTGAAACAGCACTTCACAGACTGTACAGAAACGATATTGACGGACTTTTCACAATTTTTGACACGACAAAATTTCTCCTGACAACAGGTTTGGAGCAGATGATAAACGAGTTAAATAATGACAGTGAAACTCCGCTTCATGTTCTTGTTACACATGTGGGGTACATTGGAGGCCATCTTCTCCACAAACAAGACAAAGACCAGTGTGTGTCGCGAGGCGAGATGCAGACAGACTACCAGGAGCAGGTCATTAATACTTTGGAAATACTTCTTAAGTTTAATGCTGATCCCGACTTTAAAAATCGTTTCAACCTTACACCTGTTAACAAGCTTCTACACATTGCTGTCAAGTCCTCTTTTTCCCAGCAAGAGGTAGCAACATCCTGTGTCAGGGAGTCTATCGACACACATTACTTGTACAAGAACGACTTTAGTTATGTGAAAAAGGCAGTAGAAGTTTTACTGAAGCATGGGTCCGATCCAAACTCACAATGTCCAGTCGGTCACACACCTCTGATCCTTCTTTTACAGTGTCTTGCAGAAATGGACATTGAGGATATCTGTCTTGAGCAGAAAGGGATCTTGGATACTATAGAGGTTCTTCTGTGCCATGGTGCTGAAACAAACTTCATGTATGGAGAACAAGGTACGTGTTCAACTCTGTTATCAGAAATTGCCAGTCGTTTCTTTGCTGCCCAGAGATATTTGCCTGCTGTAAAGGAGGACACTTTATTTGAATATGCTCGTCTTGTGAACCAGGTGCTTGAAATTCTGTTAAAACATGGAATGAATCCAAATCGTGTATCCAAAAAAAAGTGCAAACATTTACAAGGCGGTTCAGGAAATGCATTAATTGACTTTGTTCGATTGGCTCAACAAGCGAACACCACCTCCGACTTTGCTGTGATAAGACACTGGCTTCTGACTTTATTCCAATGGGGTGCGGACCCTGACTTAGAACCGTATGCCTCCGAACCCATTATCTGTCATTCTCAGAGCTCCATATTTCTGAAACACCAAGGCACTCAAGCTCTTAACCACTATATCTACGAGGTGAAGGAGTTTGACAGTCTGTTTGATGATGGACATGCACAGGATCTGCTGCTTCTCTTTTACAACACCATGAGCCATTGCGTCTTGTATGACTGTCTCAACAATGCTAGATTCATGGCACGCTTCCATCCCCTGGGCGCCACTGGACACGATTTCGTCAAGTTACTCACCAAACTAAGTGAAAACCCTCGAAGTCTTAAGGAAATTGCGCGTGTTGCCATCTATGCTGCCTTGAAAAGAGATCTAGCCAGGAGAGTGTCAGAGTTACCACTACCTAACCCGATGAAACGCTACCTGCTAGAAATCCAGTAATGAATAAGAGTTTTATGTTATCAAGTGACAAAGTGCTTGTGCAGTATTTTGATCTCACGGAACTGATATACAGTATTTAGAGATTTGGCCTGTTTATATCGGTTACTGTCGACTATTGATATAAAAAGGCTACAGAGTCGGTTAATCCTTGCTTATTCAGCACATACTCGTTTTAGGATTAAGTTTGCATAAAACCATACATACATTGTATATACTTTTACATATAGAGAGCATTATAGTTTCTTTATTACTTTAACAGGGTTCAAAATTGGAAAGTTTATAAATCCTCTTTGTTATCATACACAGCTAGAAATAATATCGTCTGTCTATGTTAGTTACATTTCAGCTTGTTCTGCCAATCCGATGGCGTAGTTAGCATAAATGACATCATAATAATGTATTCTGATGATAAATGAAAACAGTATACTCTATATGTTCTACGGAACAGGTAAAGTGGCTGTCTGTTGTTTGATCTTGGTGTGGTTGGATTGAATATTAAGGTAGCCAGCAAAATGAACTATTTCATTGAAAAATAAATTGAAAACAGTGTATTTCCTACAGATCGCTTAATATTTAATGTTGAGTATAAAAATGCGTACATATATAAATAACATTGTTTCAAAGTCTTAATATAATTCCGAAGTCAAGGCGTCTTATGATGAAGACAACGTGCTCTGCTGATCATTTTACTGATGGTGACGACGGAGTGTGCATTGTTTATCAATTGTCTGATGATGACGGAGTGTGCATTCTTTATCAATTGTTTGATGATGACGGAGAGTGCATTGTTTATCAATTGTCTGATGCTAACGGAGTGTGCATTGTTTATCAATTGTCTGATGATGACGGAGTGTGCATTGTTTATCAATTGTCTGATGATGACAGAGTGTGCATTTGTTTATCAATTGTCTGATGATGACGGAGTGTGCATTGTTTATCAATTGTTTGATGATGACGGAGTGTGCATTGATGATAATTCTTCAGAAGATGACTACAGTGTAAATGGTGAACAAGTTCAATTCCATCGATGTTTGTCTATCTTGAGCATTAACTCATATTGAACCGTATTACGTTCGGCAACAAGAGGTGGACAGAACAAGCTAAAATTTGTAGTGTAAGGGAAGTAACTCGAACAGAAACATGTTTATTGTGATGAGTGTATAACCAGGCTCTACGAGGAGAACATAGTTCTACACAAGAACCCATTTATATATATATATATTCCTAGTAAATTTCTTTAATGAACCACCATGAACATGTATTGTCAATCCTTACGATGTCCAGAACACATTTAATCTTCGTTCGTATTCTCAATATTTTCTTGCATATATATGTTTCCATGTTTTACAATGAATCCTACCTGTGCTTCAAGTAACCCACAGGAACAATTACAAATGAAAGTTATATTTTGATAACTTGCCTTTTTTATTTGTAATGCTCTTGTAACAGACTGTGGAAATGATCTATTAAGTGTCCCTTTCTAAAACACCAAATCAAACGTCCCCGTATTTGATTTTCAATGAAGTCAAGTTGGTTTTTCGATTGATTGAAATTCCGTAAAAAAAATTCCTACCATATTTGCAAAATGTACAGTCATTACCAGTTTTTTGTTCCTATGTACGTCCCAAACTTTGACCGGTACACAACTTTTATTGTTCCTACACAACTGAAGTTTGATCGAGGAATTATTTTACTGTGTGATTTTCTTTAGATACTTAACTATCTAGAAGATATATTTCGCCATTGCTAGTAACCAGTCATCTTTTCCATTGTGTTGGATTTGGACAGAAAGTGAGTTAACTGATGGAAAAGGAATTCTGATTTTTCCATTGGCATTGATTGGGATCATATAGTTAAGCTAAGTTAACTAACTGAAAACCATTCAAATCAGGGGGTCAGTCTGTCCATTTGTACAGTTGTTAATCTCCACTACCTAGGGATGCTTCCATTCTTGAGATTAGAAGCATTTTCTTACATTTTTCTCGATAATAGTGAATACACGGGACTTCAGAAATGCATGAATTATGATATTCAATAAATTTTGCACCACTCAAATTCTGCAATCAAAAGTTACTTTTCTGACAAAATCAACAATATTTTTGACAAATAATTTCTGCAAAGGTCATTGATTCTTGACATGGATATAACAAATAACTTCCATACATCTTTAGCCCATCATCAGATGTCGTCCGTCCTTAAACAATTCTTGTTATCGTTATTTCTCAGGAAGTACCCGAGAGATCTTAGTCAAATTTTACATGTAGGTTCCCCTTGGTCCCTAGTTGTGCAGGGCAACTTTTGAGACTGATCAGATTAACAACATGGCCAACAGGCAGCCATCTTGGATTTTGATAGTGAAGGTTTGTTATCACTATTTCTCAAATTTACATATGTAGGTTCCCCTTGGTCCCTAGTTGTGCAGGGCAGAGGGACCCTGAATAGAGATTTAGTGGAGTGATTTAATATAAACATAATTAATGAAAACCATTCAAATCAGGATATTCAAATCACTCCTTTCTACTGCAAGTGTTTACTCTTCTTTATAAAATCTGTTTATATTTGAACTGATTTTTTCCCATAACATAAAGTAATATTTTAGATTTAACTAAACAAACCTTTCGTATAAAAGTATATCGCAGTGATATTCACATTATTGGAATAACAAAAAAGATGAAAACAAATGCCCGAAACGAAATTGTTTAATTCAAAAAGTAAGACATACATTCTGGATTATCCACATACCGTTAGACCATTCACAACTTTATCCAATGTACAGTACACGTGTATACATAGTCATACAGCCAGCTGAAGTACGTTCCCTTAAGGTCTTACACTAATACAATGTACAATACACGTGCATTCCTACAGTCAGCTGATGTGCATGCCTTGTGTTCGTACACTAATACAATGTACAGTACATGTGCATGTATTAATACAGTCAGCTGATGTGCATGCCTTGTGTTCGTACACTAATAAATGTACAGTACATGTGCATGTATTAATACAGTCAGCTGATGTGCATGTCCAATGTTCCTACTAATACAATGTACTGAACATGTGTATCACATACAGTCTGCTGACGTTCATGCCTTATGTGACTCTAATACAAAGTATAGTACACATGTATACATACAGTCCGCTGATGTGCATGTTTTATGTTTGTAAACTGATACAATGTACAGTACAGGTGTATACATACAGTCCGCTGACGTGCAATCCTTGTTCTTACACTAATACAATGAATAGTACACGTGTATACATACAGTACACGTGTATCCATACAGTACACTGTACAGTACGACAGACGTTTGCCGACGTGTCTCCGTAAATGACTAATTGGCAATTTAGTACACTGTATACACATGTCCCTTATATTCTTTTCACAAAATAAATCAGAATGTCACATTTTTTTTTCTTTTTGTCCATAAGTATCAGTGCTGAGACCTATAAATGGAGGAAACGACTAATGCAGCAGTAAAATGTTAACTTTGTTCGGTTTTATTCATCTACAATCAAAATTTATTTATAGGTGTTTCATTTCTTAGCAATTTAAGTGATAACTTGTTCCATTAATTCAAGTGCACATCTTACGAGATCTGCTTTTCTTGAATATATTATTTTTATGTCCATGATATCACATATTGAAGAAAAGCTCTGAGTATATCTAAAGTTCTGGTATCATGTACAAAGTAATTAGACTTTGAATATTTCCTCTAATTAGATGAACTTCTCCTCCAACTATAATTCATACCCATCACAAATACCTAAACATCTACATGAGATCCTCTCAAAACCAACGAGAGTACAAATGTACATCACAATTTATCTCCTACACAAAAATACACATCTTATATTTCTGTAACTTAAACAATTCACACCCTCACAATAAAAAGGTTAGCAGCTCTGTAGTTAGTATATTCTGTTCTCATGTAGGTGGACTAGTCCACCTAGTGACAACTTATCTTTGATACCCGAGGGCTTTAGCTCTCTGATGTTCTCTGAACCCCTGGAATATATAATGACAAAACTCAAGGTTCTGCACGCACCACCTTGTGGATGGTACAATAGATTAGGGTGATCATTTGATGTAGATCAAAAGAATCACGAGGCAACATAACGGTAAAATTGATCGGCTTTGATATAGGGTGTCACTCCTCTGTAATAGTCAAAGGGTAGGTATCAGCATAGCGATTGGTCAGTTTTTATTTCATCTGAAACCAATCAAATAGCTAACTGTGTGCCTTCAATTTTGTCATGACATATTCCTGGAATGCCGAGAACGTAAGTGAGCGGAACCACTGGAATTCTGAGGCTGGTGACAGCTACAGCATCAATTAAATGGAAGACTAGCTAGTTCATCTGATAAAAACACAGCATGACTTATCGATCTAGCGTCATACACAGCATCAACATACCGATAAACTGGTTCATCGAGACATAGAACCAGCATCAACATAACGATGAACTGGTTCATTGAGACATAGACCCAGCATCAACATAACGATGAACTGGTTCATTAAGACATAGACCATGCATCATCATAAAGATGAACCGGTTCATTAAGACATAGACCCAGCATCAACATAACGATGAACTGGTTCATCGAGACATAGACCCAGCATCAACATAACGATGAACTGGTTCATTGAGACATAGACCCGGCATCAACATAACGATGAACTGGTTCATTAGGACATAGACCACGCATCATCATAAAGATGAACCGGTTCATTAAGACATAGACCCAGCATCAACATAACGATGAACTGGTTCATTGAGACATAGACCCAGCATCAATATAGTAGTGGACTGGTTCATTGAGACATAGACCCAGCATCAATATAATGGTCGACTGGTTCATTGAAACATAGACCCAGCATCAATATAATGGTGGACTGGTACATTAAGACATAGACCCAGCATCAATATAGTGGTGGACTGGTTCATTGAGATATAGACCCAGCATCAACATAACGATGAACTGGTTCATTGAGACATGGACCCAGCACCAATATAATGGTGGACTGGTTCATTGAGACATAGACCAAGCATCAATATAATGGTGGACTGGTTCATTGAGACATAGACCCAGCACCAATATAATGTCAGACTGGTTCATTGAGACATAGACCAAGCATCAATATAATGGTGGACTGGTTCATTGAGACATAGACCTAGCATCAATATAATGGTGGACTGGTTCATTGAGACATAGACCCAGCATCAATATAATGGTGGACTGGTTCATTGAGACATAGACCCAGCATCAATATAATGGTGGACTGGTTCATTGAGACATAGACCCAGCATCAATATAATGGTGGACTGGTTCATTGAGACATAGACCCAGCATCAATATAATGGTGGACTGGTTCATTGAGACATAGACCCAGCATCAATATAATGGTGGACTGGTTCATTGAGACATAGACCCAGCATCAATATAGTGGTGGACTGGTTCATTGAGACATAGACCCAGCATCAATATAATGGTGGACTGGTTCATTGAGACATAGACCCAGCATCAATATAATGGTGGACTGGTTCATTGAGACATAGACCCAGCATCAATATAATGGTGGACTGGTTCATTGAGACATAGACCCAGCATCAATATAATGGTGGACTGGTTCATTGAGACATAGACCCAGCATCAATATAATGGTGGACTGGTTCATTGAGACATAGACCCAGCATCAATATAATGGTGGACTGGTTCATTGAGACATAGACCCAGCATCAATATAATGGTGGACTGGTTCATTGAGACATAGACCCAGCATCAATATAATGGTGGACTGGTTCATTGAGACATAGACCCAGCATCAATATAATGGTGGACTGGTTCATTGAGACATAGACCCAGCATCAATATAATGGTGGACTGGTTCATTGAGACATAGACCCAGCATCAATATAATGTTGGACTGGTTCATTGAGACATAGACCCAGCATCAATATAATGGTGGACTGGTTCATTGAGACATAGACCCAGCATCAATATAATGGTGGACTGGTTCATTGAGACATAGACCCAGCATCAATATAATGGTGGACTGGTTCATTGAGACATAGACCCAGCATCAATATAATGGTGGACTGGTTCATTGAGACATAGACCCAGCATCAATATAATGGTGGACTGGTTCATTGAGACATAGACCCAGCATCAATATAATGGTGGACTGGTTCATTGAGACATAGACCCAGCATCAATATAATGGTGGACTGGTTCATTGAGACATAGACCCAGCATCAATATAATGGTGGACTGGTTCATTGAGACATAGACCCAGCATCAATATAATGGTGGACTGGTTCATTGAGACATAGACCCAGCATCAATATAATGGTGGACTGGTTCATTGAGACATAGACCCAGCATCAATATAATGGTGGACTGGTTCATTGAGACATAGACCCAGCATCAATATAATGTCGGACTGGTTCATTGAGACATAGACCCAGCATCAATATAATGGTGGACTGGTTCATTGAGACATAGACCCAGCATCAATATAGTGGTGGACTGGTTCATTGAGACATAGACCCAGCATCAATATAATGGTGGACTGGTTCATTGAGACATAGACCCAGCATCAATATAATGGTGGACTGGTTCATTGAGACATAGACCCAGCATCAATATAATGGTGGACTGGTTCATTGAGACATAGACCCAGCATCAATATAATGGTGGACTGGTTCATTGAGACATAGACCCAGCATCAATATAATGGTGGACTGGTTCATTGAGACATAGACCCAGCATCAATATAATGGTGGACTGGTTCATTGAGACATAGACCCAGCATCAATATAATGGTGGACTGGTTCATTGAGACATAGACCCAGCATCAATATAATGGTGGACTGGTTCATTGAGACATAGACCCAGCATCAATATAATGGTGGACTGGTTCATTGAGACATAGACCCAGCATCAATATAATGGTGGACTGGTTCATTGAGACATAGACCCAGCATCAATATAATGGTGGACTGGTTCATTGAGACATAGACCCAGCATCAATATAATGGTGGACTGGTTCATTGAGACATAGACCCAGCATCAATATAATGGTGGACTGGTTCATTGAGACATAGACCCAGCATCAATATAATGGTGGACTGGTTCATTGAGACATAGACCCAGCATCAATATAATGGTGGACTGGTTCATTGAGACATAGACCCAGCATCAATATAATGGTGGACTGGTTCATTGAGACATAGACCCAGCATCAATATAATGGTGGACTGGTTCATTGAGACATAGACCCAGCATCAATATAATGGTGGACTGGTTCATTGAGACATAGACCCAGCATCAATATAGTGGTGGACTGGTTCATTGAGACATAGACCCAGCATCAATATAGTGGTGGACTGGTTCATTGAGACATAGACCCAGCATCAATATAGTGGTGGACTGGTTCATTGAGACATAGACCCAGCATCAATATAGTGGTGGACTGGTTCATTGAGACATAGACCCAGCATCAATATAGTGGTGGACTGGTTCATTGAGACATAGACCCAGCATCAATATAGTGGTGGACTGGTTCATTGAGACATAGACCCAGCATCAATATAGTGGTGGACTGGTTCATTGAGACATAGACCCAGCATCAATATAGTGGTGGACTGGTTCATTGAGACATAGACCCAGCATCAATATAATGGTGGACTGGTTCATTGAGACATAGACCCAGCATCAATATAATGGTGGACTGGTACAGCTATAGTGATAACATAACTATCTACTAACAGACACAATGAAAATCAGGAAAGCAGAACCTTTAATGTAAGCAGTTTAACCCTATATTTTCCATGTTCTTTTTTCTACACCTAACAATCCCATGATCTCTGAAGTGATGTGATTGTCTTATATTACTGATTGTCCGGTAAAGGAACATTTGGTTGCTTGAAAATCTAGATATGTTTGATAATCGTAAGGATTAGAATATTTAGTTTGTAAATTACATTGTATGACAATGTATTATTTGGGACAGTCTTTTTGAAGTGTCTAATAATACCACGTCATTGAAACAATTACAGTTTATTATATAATTACCTACAATATACATAAAGTGAAACTGAAGCCCAAACACTAATTCACATATTGGTTCCAAAAACATGTGTTACAGACATGTGAATAAAAAACCTGAATATTAATTATACATTTGCTCAGAGCTTATTTAATCAAATACAATTATGCATATACAATGTTTACGTTTTCTGTGTATAATGTTTGTAATAACCTTACGAAACTGTCACCTTACAGGGGACACTTCACTGAGGTAACAATTTATAACAATTCTTTTAATGATTTACAAAACTATCACCTTACAGGGGACAGAGGTAACATGTTAATACATATTTTTTTTTATTGATTTAAGGAACTATCACCTTACAGGGGACAGATGTATCAGAATAATACATATTTTTATTGATCTACAAAACTATTACCTTACAGGGGACAGAGGTATCAGGAGGGATTCATATTAAACATACATGTACGACCAACGATAACTTTCCATACAAACCTTTTACATACACAGGCAAATAATTTGTTCAGTTTTGAAGAAATATAACTTCATGAAAACATAAAAACAGAAACTTAAAGATATTTTTTCTTTGTACACAACTGATTTATTTTTTCCTGGTCGACAGTTTCGACCACTATATATTCTTATAACTTTCGGTCATATTTTGCGGGAAATCGTCACACTTCCAGGTAACATTTTTCTGGCAATATATCATAAAATAATATAGGTTCCTTAAATGTTCCTGTTCATGACTGAAGAATGTACCCGGATCTGGATCGTCTCCTTAAGCTTACCGGTATATATGTTCATTATGTAGTAGGTTCCACTGCCTATCCACTCTACATGTACATGCTGGCACTACCCCAATGTATTACTTGGTTGTTGTCATGGTCCCTGAGGGCACTTTGGTTAGTTATGTGTAGAGACTGTTTTCTGATCCTTTGAATGCCCTGTCCCTTGTCTTGCACTCTTTAACAGAACGGAGATGATAGGCGGACAGATTCTTAGATTTAGGACCAGGTGAATGTCATTCGATAGAGAAAACTTGTGATCGAAACTGTCCACCAGGAAGAAAAATACATCCTAAATCTACTCCTCCTACTTGGTGAACAATTCAAGAAAATAAAAGAGAATAAGGTGAAACACTTCCATCAGCACATCAAGAAAGAGAAGTTGTCATATTGTTTACATATATTAATATTATGAGCCTTAATATAACTTGTTTATGTTTTTGCACCATTTGAAAATCATGCAAAAATAAGTCTCTCACAAACTATTTGCCAGTGTAAAAATCATAATGAAATTGATGACATTCATCGTTGTAACAGGAATTATAAACACTTTGAATTGGTCAAGGTGCAATATTATAGTGCTACGCCAATATTTATAAACAAAGATACCTGTGTAATTAACCATTACACATAAACAAAGATACCTGTGTAATTAACCATCACACATAAACAAAGATGCCTGTGTAATTAACCATCACACATAAACAAAGATGCCTGTGTAATTAACCATCACACATAAACAAAGATACCTGTGTAATTAACTATCACAAATAAACAAAGATACCTGTGTAATTAACTATTACAAATAAACAAAGATACCTGTGTAATTAACTATTACACGTAAACAAAGATACCTGTGTAATTAACTATTACAAATAAACAAAGATACCTGTGTAATTAATCATTACACATAATTACACATAAACAAAGATACCTGTGTAATTAAAGCGATACACAAGAATACATAACAAGATGTCAATTAAGTGTGGCTTACTGGCTTCACATGATAAACAATACAAGTTTTATACTAGAATATCCATATTGAATAGAATACCATCATGTTACAAGCACTCTGTAAATCTGTAACCATTTGTGGCATCAACAAGCCTGGTTGACTTTTGATATTCTTATGTTTCAACAATTTTACCATTCGTGAGTTATTTTGCATCTGATGTTGTATACTAATATTGCATATTTATATAATATGAAAAAAATCAGCTACAATGATATATCTGATATCAAAATGACGGTGATATTATTTGTAATGCTAACAATTAATGAAGATTACAATTTATGTACTTCCTATATTTGATGACAGACACAACACTGGTATGCTATGGTCACAGCAATCAGGGATGCTGAAATGATTACAACAAGCATTACAGCCAATAGCTAGACACAAAAAAGGCAAGAGTATATGCTACCAAATTGAATCCGAGGTGGTGTTTTAATTTCCATACTTTCTGTACTGTGTGTTCTGTCTATATTAACGTAGGCCATGGAGGAAAATAGGATGCCAGGAAATATTGGAACTCTGTCAAACCAAAGTCGTCAATGTTGACAAGTGCCAACAGCTCGAGGTTTAGGATAGGTTTCATCAGGGTTATAATGTTAAAATAAACTTTAGCAATGTAGTGTTATCAATTTTACATTGTTGTGGTGTTCAGAATTTATTCAAAAGACAGTGCGGATTTCCATAGGACAACTGTGTGGGTTAGATGGACGACGATGTGTTAGGGGTACAGACCTGTGTGGGGTAGATGGACGACGATGTGTTATGGGTACAGACCTGTGTGAGTTACATGGACGACGATGTGTTAGGGGTACAGACCTGTGTGGGGTAGATGGACGACGATGTGTTATGGGTACAGACCTCTGTGGGTTAGAAGGACGACAATGTGTTATGGGTACAGACCTCTGTGGGTTAGATGAACGACGATGTGTTATGGGTACAGACCTGTGCGAGTTACATGGACGACGATGTGTTATGGGAACAGACCTGTGTGGGTTAGATGGACGACGATGTGTTATGGGTACAGACCTGTGTGAGTTACATGGACGACGATGTGTTAGGGGTACAGACCTTTGTGGGTTAGATGGACGACGATGTGTTAGGGTGCAGACCTGTGTGGGTTAGATGGACGACGATGGGTTATGGGTACAGACCTCTGTGGGTTAGAAGGACGACAATGTGTTATGGGTACAGACCTCTGTGGGTTAGATGGGCGACGATGTGTTATGGGTACAGACCTGTGCGAGTTACATGGACGACGATGTGTTATGGGAACAGACCTGTGTGGGTTAGATGGACGACGATGTGTTATGGGTACAGACCTCTGTGGGTTAGATGAACGACGATGTGTTATGGGTACAGACCTGTGCGAGTTACATGGACGACGATGTGTTATGGGTACAGACCTGTGTGGGTTACATGGACGACGATGTGTTATGGGTACAGACCTGTGTGGGTTACATGGACGACGATGTGTTATGGGTACAGACCTGTGTGAGTTACATGGACGACGATGTGTTAGGGGTACAGACCTCTGTGGGTTAGATGGACGACAATGTGTTATGGGTACAGACCTCTGCGGGTTAGATGGACGACGATGTGTTAGGGGTACAGACCTCTGAGGGTTAGATGAACGACGATGTGTTATGGGTACAGACCTGTGTGGGTTAGATGGACGATGATGTGTTAGGGGTACAGACCTCTGTGGGTTAGATGGACGACGATGTGTTATGGGTACAGACCTGTGTGGGTTAGAAGGACGACAATGTGTTACGGGTACAGACCTCTGTGGGTTAGATGGACGACGATGTGTTATGGGTACAGACCTCTGTGGGTTAGAAGGACGACAATGTGTTACGGGTACAGACCTCTGTGGGGTAGATGGACGACGATGTGTTAGGGGTACAGACCTGTGTGGGGTAGATGGACGACGATGTGTTATGGGTACAGACCTCTGCGGGTTAGATGGACGACGATGTGATATGGGTACAGACCTGTGTGGGTTACATGGACGACGATGTGTTATGAGTACAGACCTCTGTGGGTTAGATGGACGACGATGTGTTATGGGTACAGACCTGTGCGAGTAACATGGACGACGATGTGTTATGTTTAATTGAATAATTGAAAAGTATTCCGGAAAAAATCCTGGGTGTTCGACAAGGGTGCTGATGAGGTCTTTGGGGAAATTTGTTCTATAAAATTGGGCCATTTTTTTCTATGATGAAAAGAATCAACTAGATGAGACTCTGCTAGCAGTGGTTATTCTCTGGCTGAGAACAACATAAATCCACAAATGCTGTCAACAAGTATGAAACTGAGAAGAAATAGAAAATGTCTTAACCAAGTAGAGGACAAGATGGCCCTCTAAGATTTAAAATCAGCCAGAAAGATAGTTATATGTAGTTGTTGTATAATTGATGAAAATGATGCACATCAATGTCATCATGTTGATCCCAAATACAGCAGTACTAGCGCTGTATCCTGTAGATATATTCGTCTAAAACACCGACTCCTTTTAATAATCATGGCCTCGTCATAAAATCTGAAAGCAGATAGTCTGAGTGAGCAAGCTAACTATTTTGTAGTATAGATATGTATGCAATAATGATTTTTCAAAATGAGCTGTGATGATTTTCAATTCAAAACTGTCCAAATTTACCTTATATAAGCACAGATTAGCTACTAAAGTGTTGCACAAAAACAATGTTCTCTGTTACAAATACTTGATATGTATATTGTATATTGTTCATGCTGCCATTAAAGATTGAAATATATTGAATATCCATTAATTGTTTACATAATAACCAATCTCATCATTTTGATATCAAAAGTGAATGTCATTATGACAAACTTTGCTGAGAATAAACTGCTAATTTTTTAGAAGAACAGGCAGGAGAGAGGATAACTATGTATACAGGCCATACCTACACCACACATGGTTACATACTACCAGACAACTGTGTACAGGCCATACCTATACACCACACATGGTTACATTTTACAACGGAAAGATCAACCTTCATTATTGTCATGCTTGTTATCAACCATTTACAGTCAATCATTTTATGATTTATATGAAAGCGGTGATTTTAAACAAACCTGTGACAATGTTTATAATACAATTACTATGAAAAGTTTGTTTGAAATAGCTTCTGTGCCATTACAATGTGTTTGAAATAGCTTCTGTGCCATTACAATGTGTTTGAAATAGCTTCTGTGCCATTACAATATGTGTTTGCTTACATTGATTCCTTTTATCAATCTTTACCATAGGACTTTATTGTCTGCTATTGAGGTATTTATCTTTAAACTTTCTTACCTATCTAGTTTTACTAGGGAAGATGAGGCTCGACGTCCACAATGTTCAGTGTAGTTCTGAGTATCCCTACTTGTTAGTGTTAGTTTGATGACTATTTCATTTTGAGGACGTCTATCTTTACAGTGTGGTTTGGCCCTAAACAATTTAAAGTGCTGATTGGCAGTTAAAAAATACAAAACAAATATTCTACAAATACAGAAAATTGGAAGGCATCATAAGATAAAAATGATAACTCGCAAAATGGTAAAAATGAAAATAAGATTATCAAATGTTACAGTCACCTGGGCTTTTTGTGATTTGTGTGAAGGCTACAGGTTATTTCTTGTTACATGATGATTAATTTTTCTGGTCAATTTACACAGCAAAGAGAAGACACGGAAAATAATGAAAATCAACAAACATCACAGTATTTTACAGCATAATTAAATGGAATGCATAAATGGAAAATTATTCAACATTAAATACAGGAGTTATCTCTCTTCCCATACTGTCAGCTGCTTATTAAAAATTAAAAGATATCGATCTGGCAAACAATCTTGTGATCTTTGATCAAAGGGTGATACATAATACTATGCATAATTTGGAAGTTTATGTAATGTTGAAGGAAAATGCTAAATGAAAGCCAGTAAATGTTTTAAAAACAAAATGTTGAAATGAAAGAAAATTATCAAAAGTGCAAAAACAATCAACCTGCACTTTTAAGGGCCTTGGTTGTTCAAAGACAAAAATACTTGGACATACAATAAATCTTCATTTATTCTGATCGAAATACATTTTCATTCAAAAACGGCACTGTAAAAATCTAATATATTTCAGGGGGGAACTTTAAGCACAGTCTTTATAAGTTGTCTCGTTCTATATATATACATGCACACACATAAATGCTAAAATTAATTCAGCAATGTTTCTTCAGTTTGACCATGCACATTCTTTTCCTGAAAGATATGAATACATAAAATACCATACATTTATGTACAGTTACCAGGTAACAGTAGGCTATTAGTCCAGTGGCCCATTCAGCCTGTAGTTACCAGGTAACAGTAAGCTTAGTCCAATGGCCCATTCAGCCTGTAGTTACCGGATAACAGTAAGGTAAGTCCAGTGGCCCATTCAGGCTGTAGTTACCAAGTAACAGTAAGCTTAATCCAATGGCCCATTCAGTCTATAGTTACCAGGTAACAGTAGGCTATTAGTCCAGTGGCCCATTCAGCCTGTAGTTACCAGGTAACTGTAAGCTTAGTCCCGAGGCCCATTCAGCCTGTAGTTACCAGGTAACTAAGCTTAGTCCAGAGGCCCATTCAGCCTGTAGTTACCAGGTAACAGTAAGCTTAGTCCAATGGCCCATTCAGCCTAAAGTTACCAGGCTACAGTTAGCTAAGTCCAGTGGCCCAATCAGCCTGTAGTAACCGGGTAACAGTAAGCTTAGTCCAGTGGCCCATCAGCCTGTAGTTATCAGGTAACAGTAAGCTTAGTCCAGTGGCCCAATCAGCCTGTAGTTAACAGGTAACAGTAAGCTAAGTCCAGTGGCCCAATCAGCCTGTAGTTACCGGGTAACAGTAAGCTTAGTCCAGTGGCCCAATCAGCCTGTAGTTAACAGGTAACAGTAAGCTAAGTCCAGTGGCCCATTCAGCCTGTAGTTACCAGGTAACAGTAAGCTTAGTCCAGTGGCCCAATCAGCCTGTAGTTAACAGGTAACAGTAAGCTAAGTCCAGTGGCCCATTCAGCCTGTAGTTACCAGGTAACAGTAACCTTAGTCAAGTGGCCCAATCAGCCTGTAGTTACCAGGTAACAGTAAGGTAAGTCCAGTGGCCCATTCAGCCTGTAGTTACCAGGTAACAGTAAGCTAATATTAGTGGCCCATTCAGCCTGTAGTTACCAGGTAACAGTAAGCTAAGTCAAGTGGCCCAATCAGCCTGTGTATATAAACTTTCCTGTGTATGAAAGTATACAGATGGATACCTGAACAAAACCTTTTGACTTTGAACATCCAGGCAAGACAGTTTATCACATTACCTTATTATTTCACATTCTTTATCTCGCAGTAAGAAACAGGTTTTATTGATCCAAGGTAAGAAATGATTCGGGAATATATTGTACATGTATCACATATAAAATCTATAAACTGATAAATGAAGAATGGACAAGTATAATGAGTTACCTCATATATATACCAATAAACGCAATGGAACATGATGCAGACAAACTGATACATTATATCCTATAACATTGTGTATATAAGTAATTAGTACCTGTATGGTCAAGTGACCACCAGGTAACAGAAGGGTTTTACTGTAACAAAACAAACTGTGTAATAGCTGTCAAATCTTAGCTATCATAATCTCACTCTCCCCTAAATTCAGTTCTTGCATAAGATGGTATGATGACCGTTTTTGGTGTGTCCTAAAGTTTGGAATTGTATCCATTTCAAACTGAACATGAGGTTCTTCATTATTATAACCCTTTTTATTGTCAATTGAGGGCACAACAATTTCATTCTCTTCAATCTCAGGGCCTTTTTTATTATTGACTACCTTTTTTGGTGTATTTTCCACAGAGCTAACAGTATTTGATAAATTATCACTTTTATTTGAATTTTCAACATTTTCTTTGATAACAGGATTGTCTTTATAATCTATGTCTGTAAAAGGTTTGGAGGATACAAAAGATGTAGTTAACATGGTAGTAGAGCGGCCTGGGTTTGGACTCTGCTCCAAACTTCGTATATGTGGTGAAACCCAGTGGGTTTGTTCATTCCTCTGAGCCTCTTTCTTCTCAATGTATAATTTCTTCCGGCGTTGGCGTTTGTAGCAGTAGACAATCAAAGCTATAGATGCAATTATGAGGATACAGGGCAAGACAGCATACATAGTGATCCACAACACGCGACTGAGGCCTGCAACAAACAAAAACCGTTATTAAGAAGTATTTAAGGATAACATTGTAAATCCACAAGGACAGTTGACAACCAAATAATTCAGACATCAGGTAATTGACCTTGTGAGGATACTGTCAAATAACATGACCTTATTAAGTAACTGTCACATGGCTTGACTTTGTGAAGGTTACTGTCAAAAAACATGACCTAGTGAAGATTACTGTCAGATAACATGACCTTGTAAAGGTTACTGTCAGATAACATGACCTTGTGAAGGTTACTGTCAGATAACATGACCTTGTGAAGGTTACTGTCAGACAACATGACATTGTGAAGGTTTTTGTCAGATTACATGACCTTGTGATGGTTACTATCAGACAACATGACCTTGTGAAGGTTTTTGTCAGATTACATGACCTTGTGAAGGTTACTATCAGACAACATGACCTTGTGAAGGTTACTGTCAGATATCATGACCCTGTGGGGTTACTGTCAGATTACATGACCTTGTGATGGTTACTGTCAGATAACATGACATTGTGAAGGTTTTTGTCAGATTACATGACCTTGTGAAGGTTACTATCAGACAACATGACCTTGTGAAGGTTTTTGTCAAGATTACATGACCTTGTGATAACGTTACTGTCAGATAACATGACATTGTGATGGTTTTTGTCAGATTACATGACCTTGTGAAGGTTACTATCAGACAACATGACCTTGTGAAGTTTACTATCAGACAACATGACCTTGTGAAGTTTACTATCAGACAATATGACCTTGTGAAGCTACTGTCAGATGAGATAAGAATATTGTGATGCGTACACTTGTCTTCATCACTGGTGTCCACCTCGCCACAGTTGGGGTTGCCGTCACACCTCAGCGACTGGTCTATACAGTACTTCCTACAGGAGGACCGGTCAGAACACTTATCATTCCCAGAGCACATAAATCCGTGGCAGTCACCTGCTAAAATGAAATCAAGATAAGCACGAAAATGAAATCAATATTTTTTTTTTTAACATTTTTTTTAACATTTTTTTTAAAAACATATCACTGTGATGATGGTCAGCTAAATATTATTACCAGTATCAGGTCAGATTGATACCAAATGTAGAAGATTCAATGACTCAACTGATACTTGAAGATGATCCAAATTATAATATTGAAATGACTCTATGCCAGTTAATGCAAGTTCTGTTTAAATAAGGCTGACTACTGACCTGGCTTCACTAGGGATACTGCTGTCCAAACCAACTTAAATCCTGTCTTCCTAGCAGAGCTGGAAGGTCCCGACTCAAACCTGTGGAACATGCGGCATAATTTGAAATCTTTTTCAACATTTTAGGCTTTAACCAGCTAAATCACATTAGAGAAATTCTGTTTTCATTATTCATCCCATTATCCATCCCTAAATAGTGTTTAAATAATAAAAAAACCTTGTGATGTTTGTTTGCTATGGTCATATGCCACAGTATTGTGACAAAGGGTTAATCAGAGGTGCATGACACCCTGATACACCACAGTATTGTGACAAAGGGTTAATCAGAGGTGTATGACACCCTGATACGCCACAGTATTGTGACAAAGGGCTAACCAGAGGTGTATGACACCCTGATATGCCACAGTACTGTGACAAAGAGCTAACCAGAGGCGTATGACACCCTGATATGCCACAGTATTGTGACAAATAGCTAACCAGAAGTGCATGACACCCTGACACGCCACAGTATTGTGACAAAGAGCTAACCAGAAGTGCATGACACCCTGACACGCCACAGTATTGTGACAAAGGGTTAATCAGAGGTGTATGACACCCTGATACGCCACAGTAGTGTGACAAAGAGCTACCCAGAGGTGTATGACACCCTGATACGCCACAGTACTGTGACAAAGAGCTAACCAGAGGTGTATGACACCCTGATATGCCACAGTATTGTGACAAAGAGCTAACCAGAAGTGCATGACACCCTGACACGCCACAGTATTGTGACAAAGGGTTAACCAGAGGTGCATGACACCCTGATATGCCACAGTATTGTGACAAAGAGCTAACCAGAGGTGTATGACACCCTGACACACCACAGTATTGTGACAAAGGGTTAATCAGAGGCGCATGACACCCTGACACACCACAGTATTGTGACAAAGGGTTAATCAGATGTGCATGACACTCTGACACACCACAGTATTGTGGTAAAGGGTTAACCAGAGGTGTATGACACTCTAACATGCCACAGTATTGTGGTAAAAGGTTAACCAGAGGTGTATGACACCCTGATACACCACAGTATTGTGGTAAAGGGTTAACCAGAGGTGTATGACACTCTGACATGCCACAGTATTGTGGTAAAGGGCTAACCAGAGGTGTATGACACCCTGACATGCCACAGTATTGTGGTAAAGGGTTAACCAGAGGTGTACGACACCCTGATACACCACAGTATTGTGACAAAGGGTTAACCAGAGGTGCATGACACCCTGACATGCCACAGTAATGTGGTAAAGGGTAAACCAGAGGTGTATGACACCCTGATACACCACAGTATTGTGGTAAAGGGTTAACCAGAGGTGCATGACGCCCTGATACACCACAGTATTGTGGTAAAGGGTTAACCAGAGGTGTATGACACTCTGACATGCCACAGTATTGTGACAATGGGTTAACCAGAGGTGCATGACACCCTGATACGCCACATTATTGTGGTAAAGGGCTAACCATAGGTGTATGACACCCTGACATGCCACAGTATTGTGGTAAAGGGTTAACCAGAGGTGCATGACACCCTGATACACCACAGTATTGTGGTAAAGGGCTAACCAGAGGTGCATGACACCCTGACATGCCACAGTATTATGATAGAGGGTTAACCAGAGGTGCATGACACCCTGACATGCCACAGTATTGTGATAGAGGGTTAACCAGAGGTACATGACACCCTGATACACCACAGTATTGTGACAAAGGGTTAACCAGAAGTGCATGACACCCTGACACGCCACATTATTGTGACAAAGGGTTAACCAGAGGTGCATGACACCCTGATATGCCACAGTATTGTTGTTAAGGGCAAACCAGAGGTGTATGACACCCTGACACGCCACAGTATTGTAGTAAAAGGTTAACCAGAGGTGCATGACACTCTGACACGCCACATTATTGTGACAAAGGGTTAACCAGAGGTGCATGACACCCTGACACGCCACATTATTGTGACAAAGAGCTAACCAGAGGTGTATGACATCTTAACATGCCACAGAAGTAGTATAATCAAGTTCCTTTTATTAGGATAAATGTTCCCTTTAAGAAGTTTATATCAGTGCCACAAGTTAAAAAAATCCCTTATTGCAAATCTTGCCTATTAGTGCATATCTTCAACAATCAAAAAAGATCTACAGAAATGACGATGAGTAACTCACTTTGGATTACAACAAAAAAATAACAATTTGCCTTTGGCCTGCAAACTTAAAGACTATTAATAGCTGAATGGCATATAGAAAATTCTTAATGTAATTTTGAATGCAGGCAACATGAACTCTTAAACAAAACACACCTTCCTGTTTCAAAGTTACAGTTAAAAATCTGCTAAGTAAGTCTAATGCAGCAAACGAAATCAGTGTCAGTAAAATGTTTACAATGGATGCAATTAATGGTAATAGCACATTTAAACGTCCTCATCTGCCATTCAAAATGGCCTTTTTATCCAGGTTGAAGCTCTGAAATCCACCAAAGAACATTAAGTGGATGTATAGTACTAACCCAAAGCTTTTAGTAACCAAAGATTACCGTCACCAACTTCAATGGAATTACTTCATAAATCGCAAAAAAAATGTGGCAAGGAAACCACAATTCCTGGTTACAATGTTTTTGTCATTGTAAATGTCCTGAAATGAATTGAATTTTTAAATTTCAAATGGAAATAGGGTGTTGTTATATGCCCTGGATTTGTTAAGTTATAATGATAGCCATCCTGACTGCAATATACTATTACACCTCCAATCTCTAATCTTCCTATTGTTTTCCAGTACTCCCTAGTGTGGTACTTTGAGGACCCTAACATATTTTTTTAAATTCAGTAACTGTAATCACATTAAACAGTTGAAGAAAAACATATATCATTACAAGTAACACAGACAAAGGTCAAGCTTAACCATAACATACCTGGGGTTAGTAATACAAGAGGCCCAATGGACCTGCATTGCTCACCTGGTATTAATCTCAAACTTGTAACATTAAAAGTGGACTATTAATTAAGCTACATGCAAGATATCAGTATTTATGATTGTGACCTTGAAAGTGGGTCAAGTTGATTCAAACAAGAGGCACAATGGGCCCGCATTGCTCACCTGGTATTAATCTCACACTTGTCATCATCCTGGACCTTTTTTGTTATTCAGAAGAAGTTGTTTAAAGGTTTTCAACATATTTGACCCCTGTGACCTTGAATATAAGTCAAGGGCATTCATTTGAACAAACTTGGTAGCCCTTCATCCCAGCATGTTACTGACCAAATATCATTACACTAGGCCTAAGGGTTATTCAGAAGAAGTTGTTCAAAGGTTTCACACATATTTGACCCCTGTGACCTTGAATATAAGTCAAAGGCATTCATTTGAATAAACTTGGTAGCCCTTCATCTCAGCATGTTACTGGCCAAATTTCATCACCCTTGGCCTCTTTGTTATTTAGAAGAAGTCGTTTGAAGTTTTTACACTTATTTGACCCATGTGACCTTGAATATAAGTCAAGGTAATTTATTTGAACAAACTTGGTAGCCCTTCATCCCAGCATGCTACTGGCCAACAATCAACACCATAGGCCTTCTGGTTATTCATATGAAGTTGTGTAAAGGTTTTAAACATATTTGTCCCCTGTGACCTTGAATATAAGTCAAGGTCATTCATTTGAACACAGTTGGTAGCCTGTCATCCCACTGGCTAAATATAATTACCCTAGACCTCTGGTTATTCAGAAGAAGTTGTTTAAAGGTTTTACACATATTTGCCACTTTGACATTAAATATAAGTCAAGGTCATTCATTTGAACAAACTTGGTAGCCTTTCATCCTAGCATGTCCCTGGCCAAATATCATCACCCTGGGCCTTCTGGTTATTCAGGGGAAGTTGTTGAAAGAATTTATTATATTTGA